GCAAAATTTCACGCACACTCTTTGTTCCTTCTGGTCGGCCATCTCACTAATCGCCAAAGGGTTGAAACAGGAACGCACACAACAGAGCACCACAGACAAACCACTTAACTCAGACTGACGCCAGCTCACTAACAGTCGCGGGAGACCCCCAGCTAACACCACCTAGCAGCACAACTCGTAACTACAAAGCATGCACGCGCAACAGGTCGGTTCCGGTTATTTTTGGGTCCCCCTTCGTAAGTGGTCAATAAATTTAACACCAGATGCAAACTACAGCTGTAAAAATGAGAGATCTTCTAATAAGAAAATATGTAAGATGGTAGGGTCCACTTTCAAAATGCATAAACACTGCACAGAAAGTTACAACAGTTAAGCTATCATTGGCATAAAACATTTATCCTCTTAATTTCTGCCTCTCTGAATTTTAAGTGTACAACCTTGAACAAGAATAAATTAATTTCCATAAATGGACTACATATGATGGTACACACCTGAGGAGACGAATTTCTCTATTGCTGAGCACAATATTTGTCTTGTTTGTGCTTGATGAAAGTTTGCCTCGCAAATCTGCTAATTCTGTTTCAACTTTACGCTGTTTCTTGCGTTGTTTCACATCACCTGGCTTGATGTGCATGAAAATCTGTTCCTCACACAGCTCCTTCAGCAGAACCTCATACTCTGGCTTGATCAGCCTGCCAACACAACAAAAACAGTCATTTACTGTAACACATACTGAAATCAAGTCAGCTCCACACTTTGCGGTCATATATTTTTATCTTAAGATGGACAACATATTCAGAACATTTGGATTTGATTTTCTTACACCAGTGACTGTGAACAGTACAGATTTCAACGTTGTATACACAGTGTCACATAACTTCGAACAAGGCCCCACATTCCTAGTCAAGTCCTGCGCATAGCTTGTGGTGGGAGGAGTTTCTTAACACTCGTTCTTCCACTTTCACTGACCCCTCGTGTTTCATTGAAACAACCCTATTCTCTTTTCGAAGAACATATTACAACAATATAAATATATTGTCACTCATCATGCAAAGAAAAATACAATTAATGTGTATTATTAATTTATACTTTGAAAATTAAAATATAATAGTCATATGTAATGAAGAAAAGAATTTAGCCATTTAGCGCACAAGAAAACTGACGTCTTTAAACAGATGATAGAAAAACCGTAAGTATAACCTGCTTCGAGGGTGCCTTACAAACAACTGGCTGCCTGTCACTTCTCACACCCTCGAACCCACCCCCTTGTCTGGAATTTTTCTTCTGCGCATTCAAGGTTACTCTTGGCCTTGTTCGAAGTTAAGTGACACTTGCTATAACAGCATGTAGATACAACCCAGAAGATCACACCCTCATTATTCAGAACTGCTGCTACTGTTTCTTTAGTTATTTTATGACACCTTCTATTGACAAAAATTCCAAATCCCCATGGTATTCACCTGAATACTGCATTGAGCATTGGATTGAAAAATTACTGAAATGTCACTTAGGGACTACCTGCCCTTACACCCTTTGGACCAGACAAAGGTAGAAAAATGCCCCTGAAGTGGGATTCTGTCTATGCGGTTTAGCCTTCTCAGGTGAACTGAGAGCAACAGCAAATTCTTTGTGCTCAAGAACATGTTAAGCTAAAGCTATCCCTGTAACAGGCCGTGGAGGCCTATAGTGCTGTGAGACAATGAGGTTCTCACATATTCTAGATAATGGGCTCAAAGATTGTGGTGAGGTTGTCAGCCTTACATGCCGGCCACCTTCTGCTCCAGGAAAACTCCTGCTACTTATTCCTGTTAGAGGATGATTGAACCTCAGAGCTGTAATATGGCTAGAGAGATTAGGTCAAGTGAAAAATCCAATGACCTCATTGGGAATCAAACCCAAATAGTGCCTCAATCAACTACACTATCACATGCCCCCAAAGAACATGGTGACTATCTGAAAACTGCATAGTTAAATACAACCTATAAAGACAAGCTCTTCATCCTACTGAGTTTCACAAAAAGTACAGGACAAGTAATATTTAGGTTCAATTCCATTCCAAGTATTACTAAAAATTGAAAAAGCTTGTAGCACAGAAATGGTGAGGCGAGATTACGTATTTTTACAATTCCTTATACCATTCTAAGTTACATTTAATGGATTATGAAGTGTTTGGATAATAGGAATGAACGCTTTGGGAATGAAAGTTGAGGAATAGGAATGATAAATGATCTGTCCATTGCAGATCAAAATTTCTTCATGTTTACTGACCTGGTCATGGCATTGTACACTTGTGGTACGAGGGCTAAAACGTCAGCTGCAGCATACAGCATCATGTCTCGAGTAAGGGGGCGTCTGGCCCAGTACCGCTGGTCCCTGCGATATACGTTCTTCAGCTGATCCTTCATGGGGTTTACAGGGGCATCATACATTTCACACAGAGCATTCAATGACACATTCTTGACTTTATATACAGGTTTCCCTAACTCCTGAAGCTGCAAGACTGCATGTGCTGCCTGTGAAAATCACACAAACATATACCTTGCAGGAGGTCTTAAATTTCAGCTGTTACGTCATATGCTTCAGTTGCTATTAAACTTATTACAATGATGTCACATATTCACTCTGCTTTTATGGTAGTTCCGAGAAGGAGAGTCATTCCATATCAACTCAACAAGTCCTTTAAAGGAAAAAAATTCATGACCATCTCTGATTCTAATAAAATTTACCTAGGTTACTAGGTAAGGCAAATATGAGTAAGTCATAAATATGAAGTGTCCCTTCCAACATAAATTATTTTCAGAGAGGCTATCTTTAAAGCTAAATTTTCTTTTTTAAATTTCCCTAGTTTTTAGCCATAGCAATACTTAACTCTGGCAAAACCTTTCACACACACTGTTTCTAGAGTGGGAGTTGGTGAATAGCTCATTCTTTATTTTTTATCATTTCTTTCCTTTTCTTTTTTGCTTTCCCTTATTTTATGAGATGAAGTAACCTTAGTTATACGTTCTCTTCCATGAACGAATTACAGTCAAATTCCTATTTAAGGTTTATTTGGAAACCAATGGCAGTGAACACTACTTAAAATGAGGTAATTTAACACTGAGTTTACTGACTTGGGATAACTGGAACTGAATGTTAAATGGGAGAAAAGCTTAAATTGAAAAATATATCACTGCAGATGACAATGAAATCATGACTAAAATTTGTAGAAAATGAAACTCTATGGTGAGTCAATCACACCACTTCAAACTTGTATTTTCATATCTCTACTCACCTGTGTATCAAAGACATTGCAAAGGGTTATGCCAAACTGGTTGTACAAGTTAACACTGTCATTGCGGCAATCGTGCAGAACCTAAAACAAAACAACGCACCATTCATGGAAAGTCATACCATCAAATATACTGTAATACAAGATAATGCTGAATTTAGAAACCTCTTAATTCAAAACTTTAAAAATCAAAGATTAATGAACACACTCTTTCTTTTACTTCAATTTTTGTTTCTGAATGCTAATGTTCAGCCCCCCAAAATCACTTCAAATAACATTTTCTTGGGATGATCCCTTTGTAATATATTTCAGCCCACTTTTACTGCTTGGTGCTTGCTTCTGTCTGCTCTTACCTTGCAGGTTTATTGAGAGTCCCTTTCAACTTCATGTTTTCAGAATCCTGCATGTAAAATGATTCCTTGTGATAAGACTGTCCAAAGAAATACTCTTGAACTGCTCATGAATTTCTATTTCTCCAGTAAGGAGAAGTCCTTCACCAACCTTCTTAAAGAAAAGTTTAACAGAACATTTTTTTTGTGTAACACACGAGTACTGCCACTGACTTTTCTAGGAAAAAAAAAAGGAAAAAATGTCCTAAGAGCAAGCTTGCCTCAGCCAATACAGTAATTATGAGCTAGACAACCAGAAAATAATGGTCCTATTCCTAATAGGGGCAGAAATATTTCTCTTCACTACTGTGCCCAGACTGGCTGTGGAGTCCAACCAATGTGCACCAGCAGGGTACAGCGGCTGAAGCATGAAGTTATTATTTCCTCTCCCTTGTATATCTTTTTGGGGCAATGCTTAATTAGCCACAGGGACAAATCTCTAACATTACCTTTTACTTTTTTATCAGCATAAGTTTTCTTGAAGTTTTTCTTGGGGGGTCGGGGTGTGGAAGGGGAGTGAATTATCCTAAATAATGGGTTCTTCAAAAATAATTTCAGTAAAGCAGCCAGAGCATGAAGCTGACCACTCGCGTCCGTTCAGTGAAGAGGTCATGAATAGTGGAAGAGTGCTCAATTAATTAATTACGCATAGCGTCAAGTTTACCTTCATACAGAAGTCAAGATATGGTAGTCTTTATTTTATATTTTATGGTTAAGCATCTAACAAATGATTTCTCCCCCTGGTTTTTATGTTACCAAAAATGCTTCGCAGTATTACAAAGAACCAGCTACCTGCAGACTTCAGGAGACTGTACAACAGTCTCCTGAAATTCATAAAACCATTAAACTATGTAATTAACACGCGTTGAGAAACCAATTCATCTGCTTGCCTGATGCAAGTATATTGTGATGTGTTGCGCAATGGTAATAGGCAGGTCAACATCCTCCCTCCCCCCCCCTCCGCCAGCGGTGACGCGCCGATCAGAGCCAAAGTTAGCCGAGTCCCAGCATCCTGGTAGGTATGCAACGTGAGTCAACAGCGGTGACGTCATCAAGGGAAACCGCAGTTGCTAGGCAGCAGTAAACAACTCCGGACAGCGTTGCTAGCAACACGGCGCCAGGCAACAAGGGTGCCTATTACGTGGCCGTGTTCTGTGTTGTCCGGAACGAGGCTACATAAGGAGCAGCGAAGGCTATTCACAGTCAGTTCCAAGAGAGTTCTCAAGGCAGCTACCTACGAGTTAGTTCCGAGAGAGTTAGCCAGCAACCAGTCAGTTGTATTGTGGCATTTGTAGTGTAGTATTTGTGATACTGCAGACAGCAGTAATTGTCAGATTGTAATTTGGGTGATTGTAAGCGTGAATGTGAAATAAAATTCGCTATATCAAATACGGCGTGAAGTTATTTGTCGCATTATACATACCCAACATGTGCAACACGTGACAATATTTTACTGTCTGTTTCATCAAATTTGCATCTGATTCTCAAAGGCATTGCAGCATATAAAGCCATTGCTATGCAACAACCATGAGATGGGAGGATATACCAGGCTGTTTCTGGGCAATGACTCGGTAAACATGTTCCTACAGAACAAACAATGGAACAATGCTGGCTGCTATACCGCGAATTCTTAATAATGCAACAGTTTGACTACAACAATGGAAGAGCTGTGTTTTCTATGTGGTTTGTGCCAAGAGGTTATATGTGGGACAAGGTTCGAGCTCAGTTCAGTTATATATGGGAGTCTGTGAAGGGAGGACTTGAGCTGGAAGTATAGTGTAAACGATCACTTACCTACCGACTTGATTCATGTACAACGATATTTGTTACTTAGTACCAATTTTATACCGAGTGTAACTTATGCCCAGTCTTGCCTTAACTGTTCTAAGAAATCGCAAAGAGCAACATGCAGATAAGAGGCTACTAGAAGGTTCTTTAATGGTCGGTGTGGTATGCTGATGATTACTCATCCCACTGCTGTTCTGGTAAAAGAAGCTCCCAGAACGTTCTTGATCAGAAAAACAATTAAAAGAAGTTTTGAGAAGGATCTGGAAGGTTCTAGAGCATTAAGTCATGCAGTTCGGGAACATTCTTGAAGGGGGAGATTCCAGGACATTACATCATCACACAGTATTTAAAGGGGTTGATCCCCAGATGACAAGACAAGTTAGACACACACAAGCAGACACAGACACACACAAGTAAGGGAGAATTAACGCTAGTCAATTAGGCTGGAAGACTGTCCGTCACTACCTAGTGCTGTAGCCATCCAAGTTTCTATACAACATGTGTCAAGTAGAGTAGTGGTTGTAGAACTGTCATTGTAAAGAAAAGTGTAGTGTGCTGAATAAATTATGTGCATCAACTACCAGTGCTTGTGGTGGTCTGCAGACTTCTTCACTGGGTGTGCGATCCCTCCTTGTTGAGCAAGGCTCAAACTTAGGACACTGTCCTTCCATATTACAAATACTTCAACGTGGTTCCCACATCACGTAACGGCACCCAACTTCATCCTCAACTACCAGTAAGAAAAGAACTGCCAAAAGTAGCACTCAACACGAGGCATCGCCGCTACAATGACTAAAGAACTCTCACAACAGGAATAGACAATGTTGGAGCTATTACCAGGAAATGTATAGTAACAGATTGAGAACACTAGACTGTGGACTCTATTGAACTGTAAAATGTGGAAATAGTGACAGTGATGTAGTTATTTGTAGTTACAACCTGTAAGTGGTCAATAAAACTATTCACCAATCCAAACACCATCTACAGTTCCACTCCATACAAATGGCAGTATTTTGAAATTTTTGTGTTTTTGCTTTGGCACTGTTTGGGCAAACTGCTGCTCTACAGCAGGTGCAGTTTTAATTTCATGTTTACTTTCCATGATCATACACTTTATATTTCTCAACATATCATTAGCTCTGGATGACCAGTTTTAATATTTGGTGTGTTTATGTTAATTTTCATTTATCTGTGTTCTGACATCATGAAGCCACATGCAATAACAATTCTGTTGCTTCCTTTGTGGCCTGGTCAGTGAGTGAATCCAACTGTGTTCCATCTATTCTGCTGAGTTTCATCTTTGAAATGTGGTGTAAATTTAATGTCTGCTGGCTCTGTGCTTATGAATGTAAACATTTTTTGTTCTTTACAAATTTATTGGTGCTGTCCTGAAAAAGACCACCAAGACTGGAATGAGTGATAAGATACGGCCTGATAAAGGCAGATAAAACCCTTCAAAGAGAAACTTATTAACACAGAATTTGACTAAGAAAAAATCAGACATCATTGTATTTTGGCAACACAATGTGTGACAAAACACAAGGATGGTCAAAGAAGTAAACAATAATAATAACCAAAGTCCTTCAACTTTGCATCAAAGTCAAGATAAGGAAGAAAATCTAATCGGCTGAAGGAACTGCCATGGTTAGTTATGACATTAAAAGTTAGTAACAAGATGTAATATGAATTCTAACTTGAATACATCAAACAACCAGAAAGACAGGCACACTTTTACTGCTCCACTCATGGCAGAAACTATCAGATTCCATGATAAGTCAGCCAAATACCACAATGTGCAGAAAGTTTGCATGCCCAGTCACATTCAGAATAAACACCACCTGATATGTGTGAAATAGAAATGGTACAAGAAATGTTTGAGTACTTAACTATTCAATGATAGGGAAGAGAGACCAGTGTAAACAGTTGGTGAACTGTACTGATGAAATACCTCCCTCCACTCTCCATGTTTTGTATAGACAGCACATTACTTTTGCAGTCTAGGGTTCTTCTAAGTTAATGGTATATTCTTGAAATAATCTCTTCAAATAAGATGAGGTGCTGTGTTGTCTGACACTTCATGTTCAACAGCATTCCTGAACAGAACAAATCTTCCACCAGTTACACTTTCACTTTTATTTTTAATTCCATAGATCCTTTTCAGGTCCTGCATGCCATAGGATATAGAATATGTAAAAATATAATTGGTTTATTTCATTCATTATATTTTGTTTACATGTAATGACAGTGTTTAATACTGTAACACTGCAAACAGTTTGTGAAACCTCTTCATGTGTCATTTAGCCATCCATTTCTGCTACACCAAAGAACCATATGGTGTAATTCAATATACAGATAACTGTGATTTTCTCTTTTCCCCTGCTTGTCATACTTCTTGATTCATCTGTCTGACAGGTTGATATAATGGTTACATTTCTCTGTCATGCCATTTTATCACCAGTACAGATCCTGAATGATGTGCCATAAGTTTCATTATTCTTTTGGATTCTTGTCTCTCACAGATTTCAGAATATTTTCCTTGTTCAGTTTCAAAGTAGTGGTGATGTTTTATTCATCACATCATTTCAGTTGCTAGGATTCTTCTAATCTACGTCATCTTGGAACCGAAATTCATGAGCCTCCAGGTACATATTTCCACATTAGGCTGATGGCATTTGAAAGCAACATGGAGGCCTGTAGCTTGCAGCAGAAACTTTTCATTACAAAAGAGAATTGAAAAGATGGGAATTCTGTAACTGAAGGAGGTTTCTGTACAGTTTTCTCTTTATGTAAATGACAAAATAAAATAGTCTTTGGCATTTAATAGCCCGAGCCATGTTTACCATTATGGCTCCTTTCAGCGCAACCCCCCCCCCCTTCACCTCTCCTTCAGAGTCATAGGAGATAACA